TTTCATGTATCAACAATATTTTATTTTATTTTTTGTTGAAAACAGATTCGATAATTTTGAAGAGAACATTATTTGCATTATCAAACTGCAGATCCAAATATACATCTGAATACTTCGACTTCTAGTTGATACAAATCTAAAATCTAGTAAATATATTTTGTGCACAATTCATAGCAAATAATCATATGTTACTTCCAAAATCTTTATCTGTAATTGCCAAATAATCCTTGACCTTCTCATATCTACTGGGATTCCCTTTGACTTGAAATGTAGAAATTTTTGAAAAAACTTGTGGAATCATTTTAATCAATACATTTTTTATCAAGAATTATCGAAAATGTGAATTTCATGAATATTAGAAGCAATTAAAATTTTCCTTCATTTCAATTTTTTTTAACAATTGTAACTGTACATCTTGCATTTAATAACGATTTTATTGATACTAATGATTTTTTCATTTTTTGATTCCTCAAGTTCATAAAAATAGATATTTTCAACTCTACTTAGGAAAGAACAAAACATTTATGATATCTTGTAGATTATGTTATTATTGAATTTAAATTTAAAAATTAATATAATAAGATTTAATACCATTATTTTATTTTTAAGTCAAATCAAGTTTCCATTCATGACTTTTCTTTTTGAAGATAAGATTTACTGCAATCCAACATCAACGTCTTTCTTCAGTATTTTGTCGTAGGTATTAAAAATTCAAAAAGTGTTTCAATTCTTCATTACGCATTGAGTTGTGTTATATCTTACACGTCACTCCAATTACATATTTCTGCGCAAGTTCTTTATTCACCAATCATACAGATTTAGTAAATCATAATCTAGAAAGATGTAAGAGTTTATTTTACAAATTGGCTGGAGCTGAACTCCCCAATTTGTGTTGATTAAGTGGAGATTCCAGCACCAGCCAATTTGTAAATATAAAACAGTTAATGTGAGAGGTAAAAATACATCTTAATTGAAGTATTGAATCTATTTATGAATGAATTTTATAAGATCGGAGTAGATTTTGAGTTAATTTAAAAAGAATATCCATTCCAAAATTTGGTTAGTAATGAATTAAAGGATTCAAGATTCAACCTGTTAGTTCAACATTTTCTTTTACTGTCTCTTTGTTCTCGGTGTTATTATCATGAGTCAGTTGAAGATCTGCATATTCGTTCTTCATTCAAAAAGGAGAAAATTTTACAAGTACTTTATAAAGCATTCGTCTAGGGTTTTCTATATAAAATCCTCAAACGGTATCTACATAATGAGAGTTGTTGTCCCTTTACTCATAACAAAATGCTTTTAGAGGGTTGAACAGTCTTCATAGATAATCCAAACCACAGTAAGTCATGGAATAAACAATTTGAACTAGCACCTCGTTCTTGCTAGTAGACAGCAATCTCTGAGTTCTTTACTGCAACGAAAAACTGGTAAGAAACCAACTGTACCTTCAATATATAAACTGAACCAAAAGATGGAGAAAGCTTCAAGGCAGAAAGAAATTGAGGTTGATGGTGATAATACGTATTGCATCTAACTCACATGCCTGCGGTACAGTTCTTCTAATAAACTACAGCTATATATATAGTGCAGATTCTGTAGACGGGTCGAAGTGGCGATGGTCTCGAGACGTTCAAACTTCTTACCGATCTGATCTTCTTATCGGACCTGATCTACGTTGAGTTACTTCAGTGCTGTACTGTAAGCCGTAACTATATAAACCAGAGATAAAGTCGGTCCTTGTTGCGAACCTCCTTATGAAGCTCTCCGCATACAGGGAGACTTTGCCACTGGGGAAGTATAAGAAGATCCAGCTCGTCAAAATCTGGAAAATATCTGCAAGTATTGTACTTTGTCATAAGTTCTGGTTGGTTCGTGCATGTTTTATTCCATGGGTCTCCGTAGCTCTTACTTATTAGACGCTCTGATCAAGTCTTGCAGTTCACTAACAGGGTTACCTGGAGTCGCTTCACATTCTTGCACCCATGCTCCCCATACAACAGAGGTTCCCGACGACTGGACTCTGGTTCCAGTCCGCAGAGTAGTTGATTTTGATATAATTGTGCACTGTGCAGTACTATGGTCAAGCTCGGTCCGGCCTTCCCAAATGCTGGCAGGAGCGCCATCAATAGCGTAGCCATGGCACCCGATGGGTGTCGGAGAGCGACGCTGTACAGGTGACAAGGACATGAATGCCGACATCTGAAGGTCCACTGACTAAACGCTGGGGAAACGTGACCGAGGATCAGAGTTTGATGGCCTTTATGTGAAGAGAGCTCAACTTTATGTCGAACTTTCGTCTTTTAGCCAAAACTCCTTCTGATGTGGAGACTTAAGTAGACTAGTGTCATCCCTTTGGGTATTTGAAAAACCTTAAACTTGTTAAAAAGCGTAAAAAGCGTCTTGATGTTTAAACGACATGCATTCATAATTGCTGATGGTTTCAGCTTTTCCCTGCCGATCCTCTCACCCGAGGAAAAGATTTGTGAGGCAGATCATAACAAATAATCGTCTCCAATTCAACTGTAAGACGAATTACGTGGCAACGTGAAGATTATCCCTTTCAAGTTTCGACTATAATTCTAGATGAGAATAGAAGTTATATGACAAGCAATGTTCAAAGCTAGACAAGTGAACGGTTGTTGGACTAATCTGACAGTATGTTCCAAAGAAGCACAATGCAAGAGCTTTTACACTTTTGAAAACGTACATCTCAATCACAGAAAAACGTTTAGAAAGAATGACAAGCAAAAGAGAATTTAAACATCTCATGCAACTTGCAAGACTTCATCTTACTTCTTTGTATGTGCTCAATTACCTACAAAGTGGTCCTGAAATGATTTCTATATCCCTTATTCAGTGAATTGTTGTTCCCAATAGAAACACAAGTGAAAAAGAAGAAAATAGCCCAATCCATAGTCAACTCAGGTTTTAAATCGCTAAATTCCTTGACTGCTGAAGGTAGCTGTTAGTGAGGGTTCAGATTTCGGGGGAAGTAGAACGTAGAACGTAAATCACTTTGCAACTCAATCAACTCCGAAATTTCTATTCCAATACAGAAACTTCATGTAAAATAACTCTGGCCATTTGTAGCCCGAAGATTCATATGAGCGAAGCACCTTATATTCACGTGCATTGAAGAGATATTAAGATGCAATCATAACCCAGAAGTGGAAGATTGCATGGGATCTTCTTGTCTATCTGTAAATTTATGATCATGAGAGTTTCGTTTCAATCATCGGTACGACCCGTTGTGCTATTCGCCATAACCCCACTTACCTACAAGATTACCGTAATTGGAGTAATGCATGGAGGCGAGGTACTTGATATTGAAACGTATTAAGTTTGCCGAAACAGCATATTGATGGTAGTTGACTGGTAATCAGTCAACACTGATGGTATGCATTCGGATTACAGCATCTGACTCCAAATCTCCACGTTCAGTCGAGCCATGTGGTGAGGTGAACCTATCGTTCTCACAGGCAGTTAGAATTATTATGATCTAACCTTGCATTAACGCTTGCTCTTGGCAAGATAGCGCTCCTGACCACGATTCTCTCGAGGAATTCTGAGCTACCGGCATACGATGTCATTGTCACCGGCTAACCAGCAGCCAGCTCGTACAGCTATATGAAGAGCTGCATCTAGCCTTCGTTTCGACGAGATGCACGGCAAACCTCTCCACCGCACCCAAGAGTGGAAATCGCTAACAAGGTGAGACTGGGCTTTGGGAGAAAATCTCCGCGGGCACTGGAGGAAGCGTCGAATCTTTGCGGAGAAGTACACTTTTTTATTATATTCAGTGCCGAGAGGTGTGGAGTAGTCCTCTCGGTAGTAGGAGTACTTGGGTAACCCTCCGGCCGATAGAAGCAAAGACGGTCTGGATATTGCATAACAAAAGCCGGGATCTGCATGCCTAGCGTAGCGAGCCTGGCGTGAGGCAGTTGACACTGTGCCCGTTCGACTGATGTGCTCTCGCGGCTTGAAAGGCTCGTAGACAATCATTGGCCGGAATTGAAACCCACGGGCACTAGATTTGGCGAACACCCTCCGCTCCCCTCACCTGCCTTGCCTTGCCTTGCCCTGCCTGGAGAGAGACAGGATTTGTCTTCAGGCTTCCGGGAGTGCTTTGGTGATCCGGAGACGCCACCGTCAGCTTGTCTGGTGCAGTTATGTCCATCGGACCATTTTCCCTTTGGAGTTTGTCCACAGTTTCAAGTTTCATTTTGGGGAACAGATTGAGACAATTTTGCTCTCGCGAAATTTGCGGAAAAAAACAAGCACTCGGTGAAGCGTGGGAGGACGGAAGAGGGGAAGGACGGACGGCGACTCTGATTTGACTCTTTCAATGTGTTAGCTGAAGACGTAGGCGTCAGAATGTCTGTCCTTTTGGCCGACCGTTGACAAAATTCCGATCAGCTTTTACCTCCTAGCTGCGCCTCTCGCTTCATGATGACAGAAATCACAGAATCCCTTTAAAGTCCGTAGCATCGATCCTCACTTTGTGCCATTGAGCGTTGCGTTCTGGTCTCCTGGCGGACCAGACCGAATTTCGATCCTCGGGTAGGAGAAGAGCATATCGATCGCCAGGTACAGCCACTGCGTCCTCACCACAACAACCTGTCCTGTCCGACTGGCTGCCTCCGCTCCTGCTCACTGGAACCAGAACCAGCAGCAGTCGCGGCAGCATTTCTCATCGCTGAACTTGTTGCTCAGCTGAAGCGTTTATATAGCGGGGAGCAAAATAGCTCGTTCTGAGCTGCGGAGGAGTCTGAAATTCAGCCACTAAACCCGCAGCTGGGTTTCTGGGCTCGGGCCGAGTCGGTTGATGCAGGATTCACGGGCGGGTGATTCATATTATGCAGCAATTCACCACTCTCTTGCTCCCGTCAGTTGAATTTTGGAGTGGATTGCAAGAATATTCCAGGCCGGGGCCCGTGGTATGATCTCCGCTCGAGTTTCGGGAGAGCATTAGAGCGAGTGCAGATCCGGTGGCGAAGATGGCCGACGCAGATCCGATTTCTGAGCCCACCGTCGGGTTCAGCATGATTCCTTTAGTCGGCGTGGCCACTGGCTTGGTGTTGCTCGTTTCTGTGGTTGTATCGAAGCTGCTGTTCTCGGCCCCGAGGCTGAGTATGCCCCCGACTCCGAAGGGCGTTCCTCTCTTCGGGACCATGCTCAAAACTCGAGGCCCGAGAACTCACAGAATCCTGATAGAAATTGCCAAGGACTTCGGACCTCTGTACGCGCTGAAGACGGGGTTGAAGTATTTCATCGTCATCAGCTCTCCGCAGATCGCGTATGAGGCCCTGATCAAGGAAGGGCAGCTGTACGGGACGAGGCCGAAGCTGCTGTCTCGCCTGAACTTCACGGGCTGGAGGAGTGTGAACTCTGCCCTGTACGGGCCATACTGGCGAGGAATTCGTAAGAACTTGGTGTCGCAGGTGCTGTCGGCGTCCAAAGTCGCATCGTTCGCCCCGTTTCGCGAGGAGGAACTGAACATTCTGATCGAAAGGATGGCGAGCGAGGCGCGGGAGAATGACAATGTCATCACATTGCTGCCGCACTGCCGCTTCACGGTGTTCAGCATTCTGCTTCACGTCTGCTTCCGCAAGCGGTTTCCCGAGGAGGATGTGAAGAAGCTCGACGCGATTCTGAAGCGGCTGCTGCAAATTCTGGCTCCGCAGGTGATCGACTTCCTGCCCTTCATCCAGGCATTCTCCAAGAAGCACAGGAACGAGTGCCAGCATTTGCTGGGCCGCATGAGGGCCATCTTCCAGCCGCAGATCGACGAGCACCGCGAATTACGAAGGAAGGGCACTCCCGTGGGCGATTACGTGGACTCGCTCATCGTTCTGCAGACGGAGATGGGACTCGTCGACACGGACATCCTCGGGCTGATCGGCGAGGTGCTCACCGGCGGGACTGACACCACTGCCAACCTGATGGAATGGACCATGGGCAATTTGTTGACGCATCCGAAGATTCAGACGCGGCTGTACGAAGAGATCCGCAGCGTGACCGGGGGCCGCACCGTGACGGAGGCTGACCTGGAGCAAATGCGCTACCTCCAGGCCGTGGTCAAGGAAGCTCTGAGGAAGCACCCGCCGCTGCCGCTGGGCATCACGCACGGGGTCACGCAGCGCACCAAGCTCCGGGGCTACGACATTCCGGAAGACGCGCTGGTGCTCTTCCACATCCAGGCCATGCAGAACGACCCCCGAGTCTGGAAGGAGCCCCAGCTCTTCAACCCCGACCGCTTCCTCAACGACGACCCCAACTTCGACATGACGGGCTCCCATGGCCCCCAGAGCCTCCAGTTCATCCCGTTCGGCGCAGGCCGCCGCATCTGTCCCGGCATGAGCCTGGGCCTCACCCACGCGCATCTCATCCTCGCCCGCCTCATTCAATCGTACGAGTTCACCAAGGTAAACCCGGACGAGGACGTGGATTTTGAGGAGACTCTGCGCTTCACAATAGTCATGAACAATCCCCTGAGAGTGCGCATCAAGCCGCGCTCTTCTTAATTTATAAGAGAGAGAGTGAGAGAGAGAGAGAAGTTTGTTTGTATATGCACTTGGCAATCCCAGAGTGAAAGAAATAGGAAGGATAGGAAAGGAAAGGAAACGTACAGCTGCAGGTGTAGCCGGGCAAAGAAACTCATGAATTTTCTTCAAAGTAGATTATGGTTTTTTGATGCCTTAATATTATTTTTTGAGAAGGCTGCGTGTAAGAGTCATTTTCCAGCATAGCAATTAGCAGCGTCAAACTGGCGGATCGATGGGCCAGCCTCGCAGCTCGGAAGAAAGATCACAACGCGGGTCTACTTTGTACAAACTGAAAGAGATGATGATGAATTGGAGGTCTATTTCTTGCTTGTGGGACTCGTTTCGAGTTAGTTTGCGTGTTTGATTGATGGACTCTGTCTGAAGTTGTCCGTTTCACATACTCACATTCTTCATACCAAACCTCCTCCATTTATGGACGAGTGAGTTTGTGTCAAAGACGAACCGCGACAGTTCTTTCATGCGCATTAAAAAGCAGTTCATTGATGTGGTGTATCGTCGAGAGATCACGTGCATGGATCTTGAGGCTCACTCCCCTCTCTACCGGAGAGTGATTTTGGATGAATCAAAGTGGGGAGAGTATCTACACTACTTGCACGGCGTGTATGCTTCCGTCCATAATTCTCCTGATGATAGTTAGAACGCATCTGTAGACGGCATGGTGAAACTGTAAAATGTGTGTGCTTACGAGAAAGTCTACTTCCTCCTGCGCCTTGCGCATTGCACGGTCAGAGCAGCACAACCATCTCTCCCTAAGAGTGCTTCACCTGATGAGTGGTACATGCAGAGGAGCTTGCAGGCAGCTAGTCCCGAGCCGTTTGTACAAATATACCAAATCGAACCATGACAAGCGACTGACTTCTGTGGGTAGAACGATCTGACGCACACGAAGCAAGCACAGATCAAGGCCCTTGAGGTCAGACACTCCCAAAAGTAGATCGTCATTACGGTCAACGAAATCGTACAAAACAGAGCGCGTCGTGCTGCTGTACACTGATTTATCAATCATGGTAACGCCCCGTATATCAGAGGAAAAAGCTGAGCTTCAACACAAATGCGAAGGGCAACATTTCCAACTTCTGCACCTAATCTATGACCGTCAGTGGCATTAATGTATTCTACCTGAATGATGACTTCCAGAAGTTGCCATGGGAGCTGCTGAAGATTACTCCTGCTTCGTTCTAGCTCTTAACGCTGGAAGGGATCAGCTTATAACTTGTTTACGGCTGGCGGATGACATTTATATCGTTCTTTGTGTGCTTAATCACTCTCTCCGAGCCTCTCTTTAAACTCCAGGACCCCTTGGGAAAAGAATGCCACGGTACGAATTTTTCGACGGTACCTTCTCGCCATGTGTTGCTTGTTTCTTGTCATAAAGATGCGAGGCTATGATTGACATTCCTTGGAGCGTTGGAACTATCATGTCAACATCAAGCTACTTATTCGTGCATAAATTATACTGTGCATGCGACCGAAGGTCAACACTCCTGTCCTGCAGAGCCTTCTTTCTCTGTTGTTTCCTTTCATATTCTACGCTCGTCTCTGCAAAGGCTTGTGGGGTCGTGGAGTAGATATCAATATCAGTTGTTCAAGGTGTTATTTCATGATGAGCTCTTTCCTCTTTGAGATCTGTTTTTCATATCGTTCAAAATATTGTCCATTCAGAGATCCCTGAACACTGCGCAAGTTATTTCTCGGCTACTTGACTAGCTTCTAAAGCAGCACCGCCATCTCGCTAAGATACATTTTAATAATCAACTGTTGGCAAGATAGTGGCGTGGAGTCTCGTAGAATGATTCGTTTGGACATTCTACATAAGAATTCTGGAGGGCGGGTCAATGTAAGCCTGACACTCAAAGAGGTGCTCTGCCGAGCATCGATTGAAGTCACAAGTTTCTTCTCAAAACATTCCAATTCCTCAAATGCGGACTTCTCATTTTGCTTCCCGTCCCAGTGAGCGTGACGCGATCATACTTTTCAGAGAAGTATTTTCATACAGGATGAATTACCTTCATAAGTACCCTAGTTGTTACATGAAGAGATTGCATATTACACTTAAGAGACAGAAGAAAGATTACTCATCTTTACGTTTGATCTTTGGATGTGAACCACGCTGCAAGAGGATCGCCAAGTCAGACAGTAACTTTCAGTTCGACTTGGAACTTTAAAAATGCCTCTGTTTCAGGCCTTTTTCAGTAGAATTCTCTCGGACATTTAGTGTCAGTGGCTCTAACCCAAGAGAGAGGTTTACATCTTATCTTATTAAGGATGGGATCTCAGAGCAGTATCACCGAAAAAGTCATGCATAGATGGGCAGGAACCAAACTAATTATGCGAGATGACTGATACAATCGTGTGAATGTTAAAACCCTGAAGATATCCAGACATGTACGTTGTGTTGCAAGTCCTTTTCACTTCTAGTGTGGTTTTGCTTCATATATGCATTGTTGACCTTGTTCTCAAAATTTGTGATAAGTCTCCACAAAGCTTCAGACGTATTCGGCTCTCACTTTGGACATCTGTTATAAGATATCGCATATCTGAAGCACACTAAGATTATCCAGTCTTCTTGAGTCTTCAGGACCGGTTTGAATTTGACATCAAACCAGAAAATCAATCTCATAGATTAGATTGCTCAACTCACGAGAATTTGTTCTGTGTCCACTATTTCAAATTCAATTTCGTACTAGTCAATTGCCATAATAATGAATTCCGTTAATAGTGCAGATGTTTTACAGTTTGCATGCTCATGCGCAGTGAAAGATTCTGTTACTCGGGAGATATGTATTGATATTCTGAGAAGAAGACCAACGCATCCACGCATCAGTTGATCGTATGACAGGATCTCGACTGTTGAAAGTTATGAAAGTAATGTCAGGGATTTCATCCTTCAGCACTACTATTCTTCTCAAAAATTGGACCACAACTGGTTGTTTAAGGAACCGATGACAAAATCGTCAACCAAGTCCAGCAGTGATTAACCACAGCCGCTGGGACCTAATTCGCCTCAACATTTGACCTGAATGTCATGGTCAGGCAGACCATTTTACCGTACTTTTTTCTCTGGGAGGGAAAGGAGAACAGGTAGAAGTTGTTTATCTTCTGCCACGCCAATGTTGGAACTTTTTATACGAAAGCCACTCTACAAGCAACTTCTCGACAAATTGCTGGATGTTCAGGTTTTGCAACTGGCTAACTGGCACATTTGGCACATTCTCGGCGCACCCTGAACCCTTCTTTGATCATGTTTCGTTACGGAGGAACTGAGTTTTAGAATCCTACATCAGAAAGAGAATCAAAAGCAATTAATTTCGTTCTTGTGGTTCTTCTTCACCGTCTTCCTTTTAGTCTCGGCATCTTTTGTTGCCCACTCTTGACAAAGAGATGAAAAAATATATGTTTTTTACGACATCATATCTCAGGCCTTTGAAATTTTCTGTCATACTAATTACGAAGTTTTCAATCTTAAATTATTCGTAATTAAATGTAAACTGTTACCAAGGTTGCAGATCATGCTGTTCTTTAGACCGTGTGATTGGTGGCTTTAGTATTCAAAAGATATGTCACACTCATACATACCGTTCGTGTTCTGGTCCTGAAACATCATAAAAAATTTTCATACTAGAGCTAAGTAACTGCTAGCAGATCATACCTTCATTCAAACATTGGTGGTTCAGTACAGCACATATGAGGTGGTACTCGCAACTCAGGTCTTCCGTTGAAAGTAAAAATGCGCAAGGATTGCGGGACCAAATCATGTGAACAACTATTATGCCAACAGAAAAATACCTGTTACAGCATTTGTAGGTCATATTGTACTTCAGATACTGGTGATTCAGAGCTACAGGAATGACGGTGCAATCATACAGCAACTGCAACTTAGGTTCGCAGGTCACAGAAAGCAAGGAAGGAGTCCAGAGCCAGTTCAGGTAAATAGATAATAGGCCAACACGATAGTTAAAATGGTCACCAGAACTCTAGATCATGCTATCTTGGGAAACTTAAAAATCAGGACTTCATTACAACAAAATGAATGGGTTCTTGATACTTGCATTCAGATCGTCCTTTGACAGAAGTCTTGAAAAGAACTGCACAACGAATGAAAAGATATGGTTGGAAAACAGAAAGATACCTGTTGCAAGCATTGTAGATCGTGTTGCCTGAAGGTGCTGGTACTTTACCAACATCCATACTAATGAGAGGATGTTGTACCTTGATACTGGAGAACTCAGGTCTTCTGTTGGCAAAACATGATACAGATGTATGAAGACGAAACCCAGTGATAAAACTAGCGAATAATATATTTTTGTATCCAGAAATCTACACCATGATGAAGACTTCAAGTGATGGAAGACTCAAGACTTCAGTACCTCAAAATAGTTCGACTCATGCCTGCAACCAAGGTCTTTTGTTGACACAACATACGGAATTGCAGAACCAACCATGGGTTCAATGATAAACCAACGTGAAAAAAAAACGTTACCAGATTTTTATCATTCTATCATGCTGGACTGTGGTGATTCCTGGTGTTTGCGAAGCACCTGGAAACTTGAATAGAGAAGTAATGAATACAAACAGTAGGCCAACAGGGAAGGGTTTGATACCAGAAATCTAGATCATTGTGTCTATGTCAGTCATGTGAACATATGAATAGGTAACGAAAAATTTAGGAGTTACCAGATTTTGGATCAAACTGTAATCCCATTTCTTAGGCAATACTCCAAAACTACAGCGGAAGACGGTAAATGTACGCTTGCAGCTTAGATATCTTGTTCACGGAACGTTAATACGAGCTGCAAAACACATATACAATTGTGAAGGCAACAGAAATGTGAGTTATTTGATGCTTGGATGATAAAGCCGAGAGGATATAAGACAGCCATAGAATGGCTATCAATTTATACGTCAACGTTATAGATAATTGTCATGGATTTATGCAGTGAGAGAGGTGATCAGAAACA